AATACAAGAAGCATTTTCTAATAAGAATTGAATCTTGTTCTGTTTTGTAAAACTATAGTTACATAATTCATCCTAATGTAGAAATTACTAAGAGCTAAGAAAAAAATTGATTTAAGTTAGTTCTTAGTTCTACTTCTAGACCTATCTACTGTAAGTAAAGAAACAAATATGGGTAAATTATTTATTTTAATGAGAAATGTACAATTTGTTGACAATTAAAAATAATTCCAGACGGGGAAACAAAGTAATTTATCTATTTAAAGCAACTTCCTTAAAGTTCCAATTCAATTTTAATTATTTCTTCCAATCCCCTGGCAGTGACCCGTTCAGACCTCGGAACCAGCAGGTAGCAATTACCCCAAGGTATTAAATGACCTCACCGACCCGGACTTGTTTAATTCTAACAACCACAGCTAAATCAATTAGAAGCTCGGGAAAGTAAACCAGTCTAACTTGACCCTTTAAACGGAGAAGGCTACTTTTTGATAAGAAAATTGAAAACACTACTTTTTTAATTATGTAAGATAGATTTATATACTCTACAATATTTCTATATTTCTATGAACGCTGGTTATGCATCTGAATCACTTTTTGATATGAATGTTAATGGAAATGACTATAAGATTTATATTTACTGCTTCACCGCCTTTGACCATAAATGTTATCACATAATAATATCTCAAATGACAATCACAATGCTATCTGATCTGAAAACCGATTCTAAGTTGTAACATAAAGCAGCTGTGTACGACCATTGTGCCATATAGATATCAAACATCGTTAATACACAAACATATCTCTAAGAGCAATTAAAACTTTCAACATGAGTTCCATCGCTAACTTTATTCGCACACTTAAACGCTATCTAAGTAGTTAGAAATCGCCGTAACACAAATCACTCGGTTAACTCAACTTATAGTTAACTAATTACCACTATAAAAGTTATCGTAATAGCGACCTTCTCAATGCACCGTATATTTTGCCAATAACCACAAGTTACCTTCATACCTATGTAATGGAGCCGCGACTCTCACACATAGCTCGCATTGTTAACGATCGACCAGTGTATAAAGACCTCGAAGAATTCAAAATAATAATTTTCGTCGTTGAAGTCTTGGAGATCATCTCGACTAGTCGATTACAATGCCCGAGGATCGGTAACTGGGCGTTTTCGATTCGTATTAATTCGGATGCGTTCGGCCGTAGTCGTCCCGCCTACTTGCGCGTGCGCACCTCTCTGTCTTACTCTTTTCCATTGGAAAGTGGTTAGTCTATCTCGGTCGGTCGTGGCGAGCGCACGCCACTCCCATAGGTCGGCTTAGGCTGGGTCCAATTACTGCGTCTAAGCTTTTTGCGCGCCACGATCACTATGATAAGCTTTCTGTTTTAATAACAAAATTAATGATTTAATCTTTGTTGGTGTTCTTCAAACAAATATAACCACGCCCTATAAATGATTTGAATATACTAAAAATTATACTTGTTACAGATTTTGTTGAAAACGAATTTTTGCGTGAAAAACAATGAATTAAGCTCATATATCCCAAAGCATAGTATACTTAACTACATTTTATTTTGAAGTCTGATATTATGTTACAATTACAAAGGTAATTTTCTACACGTAAAAATGCAATAGTAACAATTTGGAGCAAGTAATTAATTTAAGTAGGTGAATACTGAGTGATTGAGCGAAGTAACTTAAATTAAAACCTATTGATCTGTAAAATAGAAAGTACCTAAAAAGATAATTGATGGAAAAAGAAGTCGATTCCATACATTCTGACCTCTTTGCTAAAGTAATAAAAGCTTTACACTATAAGTGTACGGTTTCACTTCAAATTTAAATATGTATGATTTATGAAACAAAGCATTACTTGTTCTTTAACGAAGTAATCATTTCCGTAGGAGTCCTTTGGTATAGATTTCTCATAAGTACTTCCGCACGCAGAGACGTTAACAGTCATCGTGTCGACTCTGTGTGCGATAGTTGTTGTCTATTAAAATTTCATTGTAAAAAAAATTAAGTAAAGTATTCTATAATTGCTATTGCATTCGAAAATCATTATTTTTATAAAATATATAAACATTATATGTACTTATTTATTGCAGTTATAATTGTAAAATATTATAAACATATAATTCAACTTAGTTCATACATAATATAGGATGGAGCAATGCAGCGGTGGAATGGCGAGCGGCTGGGATATAATTACGGGATGAGCGCAGCCGCGAACCGTCAGCTCTAAATATAAGCCGCGGCCCAGCTTTAAACTTAATACCAATCTTTATAATGTAATGCTGGCCGCCAATAGTTACGATACTTTCTTCATCGACATTAAGAACTATCATTTTATAATACTTTTTTGTTTTTAAAAATTTAATTTGTTTCTAATGTAGTTCGAAGAATTATTACATTAAATTAATAATGAGGTAATGTTTTACTTTCGAATGAACTTAAATATTCTAACCGGGAACAAATTCTTGTGGTTACTTATAGTGTTTTAAAAAGCACTCATACAATATTATCGATAGTGTTCGTGCATTAATCGCATCACATCGATAAACCGGGCACCATAACTCGAACGCTCCCTGTCGTAATATATCGATAGGGCGCATCACTAGCCGGGAGCAAAGGTTCCGCAGAGGGCGCAGGCATCAATTTGCGCGGTAGCCGCCGCGGGCGCCGCCGCCCCTGTCATTAGCCCGCGCCGCCCCGCATCCCCATCCCCCCTTCAACCCAGAGGAACATACTTTAACCTTTTTTACTTCCCTCCCCTGTTCCCCCTACAACCTGTTCCCGGGATGCTGCTGTGGCAACACTGACGCAATTTAAACATCGGTTCATGGCCGCGGGCGATACGCCGTATCTGTAACCTGTTAACCACACGGCCTAAGTAAAACGCAATGTGCTCGACGTATTTAAAGCTATCGCTCCGGGTCCCAGCGCCAGCGCCGGGTTAACTGCTTGCCCGCCGCTGCGTATGCAAGGAATTTACTTTGTATTACAATACACGAACGTTACCTTGACAGTATTCCCTGCATATGTTGTTAACAGAAACTTGGATATGTCTAAATATAAAGAGTTCCAATTTTGCCCTTGGTTTAGAACACTACATTTTTAAAAAATGTAACGTGATTATGAATGAGTAATACGCAACGCTCGGTACAAGATGAGAGAAATCTCTGAACGCCACAGTTCTTAACACATAAAAGGGTATGGTTTTTACGTAAAATGCAATAAATGTAACATCCGAAAAGCATAAAAAGTTTTTGCAATATTATTAAATACATTGCCTGTTTTAAAGTGTCTGATCTTTTTATATTAGCCTAGTTTAATAGACCGAAAAATAATTTCTAACGATTAAGCTTGCGGTTTTCTTTTTAAGAGTAGGAACAAAAAATGGACGAATTCCTTGAGGCTAGGACACATATAATTTACTCCTCCAATTAAACAATTTTCTCCGATATCATTCCGTTTGATTTGGACGAAGCTCAGGTCAGTTCTGACTCCAGGGCACGGGCATTAAAGGGTCCCGAAACGATTCCACATCTCAGTAACCCCCATTAAACATAAATATGCCCTCGAACCACACCGCTTCGGAAGGTTACGAAGGTCAGGCTCCGTTCCACTTTATTTAAATCTGATTTACCTCGAAGCGACGTGAGGTGCACTCTCGTGTGCCAGGTCTCTAATCGATTTTGCATAAAAATATATTCGGCCGTTTTGTTGAGCATCCGAGCGGTAACTAGTATCGAGATGAAACAAAACGACTCTCGCAAATTGACCCGTCCTTCGGAGAGCGACGCGGGCGCGGCGACCTGTCGCCGCTAAATAATTCCGTTCCCATGCGCTAGCCACTGGCTATCTCACTTTAATTATTCATAGACTTTTTTATCCGCTACCGCTTTTTACCGCTCGACGGCCGCCCGGTTATTTCTTCGATGCTATTATAAAATTAAAAAGAATAAAATAATCGAGCGGCCGGCCGGCGCAATTTAAAAAAGGAATACGTCGGATGACACGGATCGAACTCCGGGCAAATGTCGCGCGGTAAAAAGTGGTCGAGCGTGAAGAGAACGCGGGGGAGGTCTGGCGCGGGGCGGGCGGCAGGACGTCACGTAGGCGCTCGCTTTTTGTCAGCGTTCCCGCGGAGATGACAGGTCGCTGGACGCTGCGCCCGCGACCTGCGTCATCGCGACACGCCAATCTTGATGCTTGCACTTTTCTTGTCAGTTTTATTTCTAATTTCGTTTCATCTAAATTGAATTTTTTCTTCAATGTCCCGGGAAGTTTTCGATGTTAGATTTTGGCGTATTTTTTGCACACTGTTTTTGAATACATGATTTCAGTATTACAGCTTTAAAAGGTTAAGAGTAATAATATTGAGTTTCCACGTTTCATGTTACGTATGTGATAAATACATACATGTAGTTCATTAGTATATTTTTTTTACAAAACTAGTATCAAGATCAATCATATATAGTGTGGTCACAATGACCACGGCAGGTGCAGTGCGAAGGACCATCGGACGCGAACTCGGCCGTTAATAATCTTCTTACAGCTTTTCACGCGAGGCTCATACAAATCCAATCAAAGCAACAGGCCCACTCGTAATAAATTCAAGTCCACGACTAAGATGTTATACTATTTAATTAGCAATCGCTACAGTAATTAACAACAGGGACTTCACTGGACAATTGTAAATCTTACGGACGTAATAGAGCTATAAAAATGGTTAGCTAATATACGTGGACGCAAAATTAAATGGTGGCCTTATTTGATGGTCATCTTGGGTTATGGTGATTGCATCGAACTGTATTTATTAAATAAGATGTAAAATATATGAAAACTGGATACAATTAACTGAAATTGTTCTCTGAATTTAATCTCAATTTTAACTACTTTCGATATAATTTGTACGGACGCTGAAATAGAATCGATATAATTTTGTAATGATACAAGTAGTGTAAAAATTAACAGTAAATATTTTCTTTTGCAGAATTTCCGTGAGCAAAGAATCGACGGTGCAGGCCTGCCCCTCTTAACCGAAGAGCATTTAACGGGCATGCTCCAGATGAAGTTGGGTCCGGCGCTAAAATTACGAGCGGTGGTGGCTAGGAGATTGGAACCTTGCGCCATCTGCCAACCTGCCACTGCCACTAGCACGACTGCCACCGTCACCCCTGCTACGACACCGAACACCACACCGAGGCTCAATGGCACCGCACTAAAGCCGGAACCGAGGAGTAATTCAACGAGTCCTAGCTAGAAACTAGAAGCTAGATAACAAATTTCGTAACAGCCCGTTTTAAAATTACTTGCGTACTTGCCCGCTCTAAGCAAAATGAGGAATGTAGGCGATGCATTTACGAAGTTGTTACTGTATTTCATTGCAACATGACTGTTTCACACGGCCACTTATTTTTAAAATCAATGACACATCACATTAATTTAGTTTTAAAACTATATATTTTTTTACAGACTGTGTTAGGTTAGTTATTAACATCTGGTTGTACGCGGTAATTTTTTAATACAGAAATTATGCAGATACTGTTTTAAATTCAATTTCTTACCAACTCATACTTTCTGTAATATTAATTTACGGCAGAATAAAATATCAAAATCTACCTTTTTTGGTAACAAGTTACTATTTTTTTGTTTTAATCCAGTGACGTATTAATAAACTAAGAAGTGTCGGAATGTTTTTGTAACGCCTACTTATTGAAACAATACTTTTAGTCATCGTGTCCACATTTTTTAGTCTTCCAGTTTTGTAAGTAGATTTTGCATTTAGTTACAACTTAAGAACATCTTAGTTTTAACTTGATATATTATTAACCTACATGTGTTGCCGTCCAAATACATTTTAGCATTTTGGAAGTTTATGTAAGTTTTCATCTCAACCATATATGATAAACATTAAAGTATAAAAGAATAAAAAAATAGTTTTGACTTAACTAATGCACAAAGAGCTTATAGACATGTGAATTTTTATTTTCATTTTGTATGAACATTATATCTTCGGTGCTAAATGACCCTGCTAGGTGTAATTAACTATAAAAACTATGTAGAATAAATATTGTACATAAAAGCCTTACTGTATAAAACTAAATATTTTTGAGGCTACTATCGTCTACATTTATATACAGGGTCACAAAGATACAAGCTGTATATAATATAAATAATGTAGTTATATTGTTTGTATAATTTTGTCATATTATATAATACATAAATAGCATTTATTTATCTACCACACCTGAAGAAAGCTCAGTATATAATGTACCGAATACAATAATTTACTAGCGATGTATAAGTTACGATTAGTTTTTATGTTTGTAAAAACTGACTTCAATATTCAATGCATAATAACTTTGATAAATTTCATACTTTCTATATGAATATTGTAAAAAAGATTGTAAATTGCAATATTCTTTATGTATGTTTTAAGAAGGAAGTTTTTACCTGTGGTAATCTCCTTAATTGCCAAACTAGTGTATAAACTAGACATTTATAAATTCAGAAAATATTATAACAATAAGCTTCTAATTTTACATCATTCGTTTTTAAAATTAAATAATTTGACATCATTTACAATAGATATATAAGAAATATATAAAAAATTATGCATGGTGCTATTTAGGTAAATGTTTTAAAAAAAATGTTAAAGTGCCTTAAAATGTCTTCCTTCATAAATAAATAATTGTTCGATATTTTCAAAAAGTATTACGAATATGTGCTTTAAATTTGTATTTATGATACAATAGTTTAGATGTATCATTGAACGATTGTTGATAGGTGATTTTATATATAGTAAGTTTGTATCACAGCTTTCGTTAATTTTAGTTTTATTATGGACCAGTGACTTATGATTGTAAATTTGTACCTATTAATATATTATTTGTATTGTGTAATGCGTTGTCGAACATTTAAATATATAGATTAGCTTTTTTAATGATACTATCGAAATTTATTATTTTAACACAATTACTTCAAGGTCACACGTAAACAATGTCAAACCATAAAGAACGGAATTATTTTTTTAGGAAAAAAAATATTCTAATATAAACTTTTCTAATAAAAATTAAACTTTAAAATCTCTTAAATAGGACGAATCATACATTAAATTAATATAATTATAATTCTTATCTATATGTTTAAATGTTTGATTTAAATTTATTTCAATTTAAAAAGGTAATGTTTGGGACAAGCTTGTAGTTTACTTAGGTTTTTTTTTTAAAATCCTGCATTTTAATTATAAATAAAAATACACTGAACGGCAAGATAACTTCAGTATAGTGAGGCATGCAGTAAACAATAGAACAATAATTTTCGAATACAATATATTGCAGTACTTGTTTATTTGCATGTCTTACTTTACGAATGGATTTACTCTATGGCTAACTACATAGATTATCAATCATACTGCCTGTCAAGTGTATTTTCTCGATATATCAAATTCACTTTTAATTTAAATATATTTTTGAATTTTTAATTTTAAAAAAATAAGTGTACAATTAGACTGCGAAGCATCGTCAAAACATAATGTTGTCTTTGTTTGTTCAAAGAAAATGAAAGGGATGACATATTTTTATAGTAGTGTTTGGTAGATAGAAACTAACTGTATTATTTTAAATTACAAGCTTGTCCCCTGCGTGTCGTTGTCTGTTATTTCAATGAATAACTTGAGCGGCTTTCTTTGAAGTTTTAGTCAATTCTGTTTACCTTTCTTCATTGCATTGTTTAGTAATTAGATTTGTTAGCTTGTTAGCTATTAATGGATTAAGTTCAGTCCAAATTTTAAGTATTTATGTGAAGAGAATAAAAACAACCGTTTATTTCAATTTTTTAATCTGTTTGATTTTTATAAACCCTTAAAAATATTTTATAAGTTACGGACACACGCATTATTCTTAAACATAAGGTCAATTTATTTTTAAATCTTGCCGCCAGGAGACACAAAGTTTTATACAAGTTTTTAAGCACTTATGCTTATTATTCCTGCAGTTACATCATACATACTATTACATATATAATATACATTGTGTAACTTTTCTTTGAACTAGTTTCAGGTAGACATAGCCATGAAAATTTTAAAATATTCACTCTTAGCCATTATAATTCTCTTTTAAACGAAGTCATGCGTTGCAATAATAGTGGAAACATTTAATACTAATTTACGATACACGCAAAAGATTTATGTTTATGCTATATGTTTAATTTATGAGATCAGGCGTTAAAAATCTCAAGTAATCCGTCAATATTCTGTGACTCTATGATGACGTTTGTCATACAACGGAGTAAACAATTGCAAATTAATTTACGCAGATATATCTTTGGTCAGTAATATAAATGATTTTTTCATTAACAATACTCATACTTTTTAGCGCCTGATGAAAAAAATATAGTTACTTTTATTTTTGTAGATTTTGCTTCAATCATTTTAAATAACAATATCGTATCTACGTCAAAAGCAGTAAAATAATATCTCAAGAAAGTGTAGTTCTTAGAAAACTCTGTCTAATGTACTGCGATTACCTTTTATAATATCGAAAAACACCTGCAGCTTTACGTAAATTTCGTTAAAATAACAAACATTTGCTCATATTTCTTAAATAATAAAAGTAATCCTTACTCTCGGTCGTTTTTCTCAGCAACGAGTTCAAAGTTCCTTTCGTGGTGATGAGTCTTCTTCACTTTGTATTCCATAACCTCTATGACCGTGTAGCCAGAGAAACCCAGTATAAGTAGGCCTAGCAGGACGTACAGCCTAGGACATAAAAAGGTATCATTATTGGAGAGATCTAGACCACTTGAGTGGACTGTGTAAGATAATTAATAGATTAAACGTGGCCTTTTAAAAAGCCTTATCGTCAATAAATATGTACTTGCCATTAAAACGATTTAAACGCCTTTCACATAAAATAGATTTCAGCAAACTTATAATAGCAAAAAATTATAATCAGGCTGTTGCTGTTGTTTTATTGGAAGGTAGCTAATGTAATAAGGAGTAACTAAGGCTACGTTTAAAAAAAAGTTATGTTGCAATGGCCGAATACTGTCCAGTACCGCGCGCAGCTCAAAGACAGCATTCCACGCGGACGAAGTCGCGGGCACAGATAGTTAAAAAGATTTCTCACCTCGTCCTTACGCAGAGGTAAGGCGCGGATGCATAAGACAGCACGCTCCCAGTAGATTCCCACAGCCTGAAGTTAGAGAAGGCAGCTTCTTCATCACCAGGAAACAGAATCCCGGATAATGCTAAAATAAAAGAAAAAGTACGCATAAGCTATGACGTATTTTACCATATATATTGGCATATAGGTACAAGCATATAAATCAGGGACTAAGCTCAACCATTTTTGACTGTTTCCTTATATTAATTTTCTCTATCAACTCAACCAGATCGATTATATAAACAATAAGTATAAAAATACATCAAAGATTACCATTTACTTGCACGAGCCACACCGCATCTGCCGCCCCCCAGATAGCAGCGAGTACGAAGAATACTAGCCACTGGTCGGGACTGGGCCGCCACAGAAGCAGCGCGCTTATCAGGCATAAGTTTAAAACCTGAAATTAAATAAAGATGAACATATTCTTGCGATAGGTATAATCAAAGCAGTAAAGCAATCGTATTCGCTTCAGAATTTGAGATTTTTTTAACCAAGGATTTTCAATAATCCAATCAACAATCCACTGTTGCATATTATATATTCTCGTTGAATAGAGATAACCAAACTATAATAAATATAAACTGTCTATCGCCTATTGAATTTGGTTGTTTAATAGCTTACCAAAGCGGTGAGCATAACAGGGTATCTGCCGGTGATCTTGACGACAGCTCCAGCAAGCGGTGCGGCCACCGCGTTGAACACGCCGAAGCAAATCATCACGAATCCAATGTTACTTATCCCGTATGCACACCCAACAAACGCCTTTAAAAATAAAATCAAATGCATAAAAAAAGCAGCAGAATTTCCCTTTTTCTTTGTCATTTCTAATTATTTAATAAAACTAAGTTAAGTTAATCATCTCCTAATAAAATCGTCATCATCGTTGGTCAAAAAAACCACCAACACACTTAGGGTTTCCCTCAATGTAGTTTTCTAAAATGAAATCTATTCTACCTGTGTAAAGTCCGCCGCCATGAAAGCCTGCTCCGCGCCTATGTACCCGATGACTGGTAGCAGCAGCAGCTGATAGCGATGGCGCAGCTGACGCAGGGTTACTGCCAGCAGCACCAGCCCCGATTTACCCTTGCTCGCTCCCACCCGATCGCCGCTGTACCTGAGAATTAAATAACAATAGGAAGAGATTAAATTTAATACGGGATGTTCTATAGATAACTTCTGTTAATATATACTCAGGATATATATTTAAAACTTAGAAGAACATTTTTAAAATGTTATAATTTTGGTTTACCTTTTCAATGAGTCAACGCCGACGAATACCAGGATAACAGCAGAGGCCATGCAGGCTAAGTACACTGCCGCAATCACTTGGATTTTCAGAGGTGATGGCGGTTCAAGATTGGTGTTCTCCTACAAAATATTACAAATTATATCCTTATTTTTAACTATTACAGGGGTTTATTGCTATACGTTTAGTGCGAACTATAATGAACAGCTATTATAGGAAAAAAAAGAACTTGAAGGAATCCAAAGACGGCATAATTCACGAAATTATTTTTGAAAAATCTTCGTATCACTCACATGTCCAGTAGAGCCGCTGCAAAAGTTAACACCACACGTGGCTCCGAAATCCACTGTCGGTATTGACACATTGGTGACAAGATCAGATGTACTTGTCACGAGCGTATCATTCGGGTAAGTCACCGTCTCGCCCAGAGATGACGACAAAACTATTCACAGGAATACAAAAAAGATGATAACCAAAATATAAAGACGGTACATTAACAATGTATCAAAACAACAATTGTAAAAGTATTATATTGTTCATTATTCTAAAGTTGTTAATAATTTTGGAAAGCAATCCAATATTTTAAATAATATTTAATTACGTTTTCTTGGATGTATTAAAAGATTAAATTCGATGATCACACCAATACAGGAACAACAGTAAAAATGCATGCATTAACTTATTCCATAAAAACGTAACTCTCATTTAAATGTCATTAAATGTTAAATAATATTCAATATCTATTAAATTAAATAAATATTGCTAGAAGCGAAGGCCAAGTGCAAGGTCATGAATAGGAACTGGTGTATGTCAAGTCAAGGTCGCTCCGTACTTCCGTCACCGTATCAAAAACAAAACTATGTCTATGACCGCAACACGCCAAATACCTGTCTCCGTATCCTTGTTTTAAAGTCAATTGAACAATTTTAAAATTTGCACAACAAGCTTGTTACATACGCGTGGGATGGAAAACTGGGATTATATGATCAATAGTTTATAAAGAAATTACGTAATTAATATAAACTAGCTATAAATCTAAAATTTACCTATAATTATTATTCTTAAATGGCACAATTTGTTTCCAACAAGTCATGTTAAATGCGTATCTGTCCTTGTTACCTTTCTTAACCTTAAAAAGTTAAATGAAATTAAAAAAAAAACAAATGTCTATTCCTATACGTTGACATTGCATTCTAAAAATAAAATGTATTTTTATAGAAGTCAAAAATAACTTACTTGCCGAGGAAACAAGGTTTCCCCAGATCTGTGCCATTTGGTAGAACATGAAAAAGAGGCCGAAAAATCTAACCACGAGCACATCCGCTGAAACTCCTGAAAGCTTTGCATATGGTTCCGCAACCTGAAACAAACGAAACTATATATTTATCAAATATTTCAAAAGTCGTTTACCTCATAAGATATTTTTTAACCGTTTAAATGTCACTAACAAACCTTCGTAAAAAGATAGTAATTAAATCTGGTGCATAATAGTTGTTCGTGATTAAAGAGAAAGATAAAAGATTATTACGTAAAAAACATTGCTGTATAAAAAAAGCTATTCAGGACAAAAAATGTAATACAACAAAACGTAATAGAATCCAAAATATTTATAACTCAAGAACGACTTTACCGATATGGTTGAAAATTGGTGAGGAGGAGGTAGCTTAGAGCCAGGAGACGGACATAGCATACTATTTATTCATATTTTTTTAGAGTTTATGCCTTGAAGAGCTGTTTTTTATTAAAGTTACTAATATTATAAATGCGAATGTTTGGATAGATGTGATGTGAATGGATGGATGGGTGTTTGAAGACATCTCTAGAACGGCTGAACAAAAATCTCGATTAAATATGGCATACGTATAGAACATAGTCTTAAAGAACACATAGGCTACACAAATTAAGTTTTGTTATATATTCACGCGGACGGAGTCGCGATCGACAGCTAGTGTTGTATATTTTAATCATTACCTCAACATACATTTTAATGAAAACAAAGAAATACGTAATTCGACTTTAACAATTCAATCCTTATATCTAACGTAAGTAAACTTAAATTATTATCACGCAAATTCGTTACACATCAACAATAAACTGATTTGATTTGCATATAACTACGATTATTGTGGAATCCATTAAGCCGAATCAATCACAACACAATTACTATGACATGTACGAAGCTTAATTTATCATAACCTTACAAAGTACAATGGGCAACATGGAATGAATATCCTTTAAGAGGTATTCGGGAAAACCATATGTCTTATTATGTATGTTGAAATTTGAATATACCATCGATTGAGCCATTAGTATTTACGAATAAGGCGGTGACTATTTGATTTGTCCTTGAAGACTAAGGTCCCTTTACAAAACAAAGGAACAAAAGTTCAATGACCCTCGACTATTGTTTTGATGTGAAAAGTTTTATTATTATTAATCGTTCTATGGTTTAGGTGTTAACAGGGTTTACAAAAAGCAACTTCGTAAATTAAATAAGGTTTGTATGTGTATAAATATAGATATATTAAGCGCCAATAGCCTAATGGTTAAGGGTACGGATTTTCGATAACGAGATCGGGGGTTCGAATTCCGCCATTCGATTATTGTCGTAAACCATGTCCTAGCACAAGCTTAGAGCTTAGTTGGAATGGTACAAGAAATAATAGTAAATTTATACAAATCTGCTAATATTTTAATATAAAAAAGATGGATATTTTAATAGAAAAATTCTCTAATTTATCAATAAAGTAAGTTAAAATCTTGGTTTACATAATTATTTAAGTGTACTGTATCCGGCTGCATGTCCGTTTAAAATAAATCCTACGTAATGTCCGGGTGCGAACGTTGAAAAACTTTTAATTATATTATAAATATTTATAAAACATATCTTATATATACTGCTATAAGTCTCATCAACATTTTGTCAAAAATCTAAATGACACCAAATGGAAATAAGTCCTTGTTACTGTGTTATAAATACGAATGTGTGGATAGATGATGTGAAAAAAGGCTGCATGGATCTCGCTGAAATTTAACTTAGATGTAGAACATAACCTGAAAGTCACGAATACTGATTCGTTTTTTTTATTCTGTGCGGACGGAGTCGTGGGCGACAGCTGACATCTGTAAACCCATAGAGGGGTGGATGACGGGCCTGGCATTGTTATTTCCTATATCTCATAAGTAGAAATAACGCTAAAACACATCTAAATGGTACTTTGATTTGTCTAAAACAGTATTCATTTTGGTGGTCTTTATATCTACTGATCTCTTAACTCACCACAGCGAGGTATGTACACTTGGCGCACCAGAGCGGCCCCCCGCCAAAGCCGACCATGAGACCTGCGGGCACCAACGTATACAGTTTGGGATAAAACTGTGCCGCTATGAACGGCATGTACGCTATAAATGATAGCGCCACCGTCCACTTGCACCCCAGCCATCTGCAAAAAGATGTACACTAAGTACTTGTTATTATATAATAATAAAACCGGGCGAAAATAACAGCTAAACCAAACCTAACACTTCACTCAAAAAAATCCTCATCCTCAAAAAAAGAGATAAAGATGATAATCACACTTGATGCTGACACTTAGATCTTTATGAACGCAATAGGATTCTCACACACACAAAACGAGTACACAAGGAAGCAAGATTGAAGTTATTATTCATGTTTATTTGACAGATTGGAGTGCTCCTGCTTGACAGGTCCTGTCACTTAAAAGTCAAAGTTCGCGACTGACCTTTATCATTTATCGTAAAACCTAAATCCATAAAACAAACAAATGAACAAATTGTAAGAGAGAGGGTGGAAGTGAGCCGCTGTAACCCCAAGGCGAACCGGTTCCGCTCTCCGAGTTTAATTAACAATTTGCAATGTTAACGTATAACAATTAGGAATAAGTAATTGAATTTTAAATAATTTTACAAAATTCTACACGACTTGATTGTAAATTCACACTATCCAATAACGGGTTTTAAACCGATCGCTAATAAATGATGTTTTAATATACGCAATTTAATTATATTTGAATCTGCATCTGTAAATTAGGTTAATAACACCTAAAAACAAAAGCTTTCGCTTAACTAAGACGCTTGAGGCACTAATCTAGACCCGTTTTTAATAAGAAAGAAGAGAAAAGGGATGTGGGTTTGACGTGATGTACGAATCACACACGGAAATCTCCTGACCTAGGTAGGACTACAACTCTTAAGGCTGTTGCAGATGAGTTTTGGTAAATTAGCTCTTTTAGTCCTACCAAGCTGTTTAATCGTACCAACTTCTAGCCTTAAAGTCAATGAAATAGGCAAACTCACTTGATAACAATAGCAGGGAGGAAGATGTTAGATAGTATCAGTGAGAAGTATATGGCTGCGAGAGTGAATGTGCCCGCGCCAGCGTCGCTGTTGACGGAGCTCTGCAGATTGGCAGCGCCGTGGAACGCTGTAAATTGCACCATGAACGCAAACCCCAGTACTAAGATGTTGCGGTTAATGCGCCATTTCTCATTGCTGCCGAACACCGCAGGACTGCTGATCGGCATTGTGGACGAACTGGGGAAGAAAGACAAAAATTACTTTACAAATTAATAAACATAACTGATTGATAGCACGCATAAGTAGTTACTCGCTAAAACATGAACCTCATGTCACTCGGGTCGTTGGTGACAAAAATTGCCAAATCAATTCTATTAACAACACTAAGAAGTTCAATCCTAATTAAAACCGCTTCATAAATTAAAGACTTAAGAAATATAGAATTTAAAATGGAACCCAGATCACCGAATGGGTTTTAGTGAATCAAGTCTCAGAAAACCCCGTTTTCCCCCAAGGCGACAAAGAATGACTAATAACATTTTTCTATAATCATGATACATTTAAAAAGATATAAAGCGCTGTAGACTAAATATAGTTTGCTTTATTAAATCCATAATGTATCTTATAAAAACTGTTATAAATGTAATTGCCCGTACTTTATTATTCATCTGTATCGTGCTGCGAGCTCGAACACGCATATGGAATACATAATCAATGCGATATCTTTATCAATAAATATAGTATTTAAGCATATTAAGTCTCAAACCGTTGGTTTTTAAAACCGAAATCTCTGTATCATATCGTCATCTCTGTCATTATCTTTGACAAAACAGAGACAACAATATGTTTTAAACAGGGATTTTCTGTCACAGAAACCCATAGTTAGTTCTAAAACTAAACCGAAACTTTGACTTTTTTTATCATAAGGTGGCAAACGAGATCGGCCACACGAAATCGCAGAAATAGCGTTGTGACCGTTGCCCATAGACATACGCAATTACATATGCGTACCTTTAATCGACGGAGGAGAGGATGCACAGAAAGAAAATATTTTCCGTTCCCATGCATCCTCTCATCCGGAAAGTCCACTTCCACTTCCCGTCCTTTCCTTATAAGAAAAAGGGTGGAAAGAGAAAGAGGACTAAATTAGGCCTCTGGGACGCACAGTCATCAGCCGAAACGCGGAATTGCTTCCACTTCACGCCTGTCTTCTGTGTGGTCGTGGTATTTCACCGGGCGAGCCGGGCTGATTCGTGCGAAGATGTTAAAGCGGGCTCTACCACTGTTACAATTCAATTATTTTACTATAATAGTGTGGGTTTAACCAATATTAGTGTAGGGTTACATTACGTATAAACAAGTTTGTTTTAATGAAATCTTTAATTTTACGTTTTATTTATACAAAGACGGAAAACACAATTGGGGTTTTACACCTTAACTTGTCTTGTTGTTTTTTTAGGCCCAATGTCGCATGTAAGATTGTCATGTCTTGCGATTTTACTTAGTGCAAAAAACTCTACTACTTTTGTAAATATGAGCAACTAGGACCTCATGTAATTTTAAATTATTAACGGTGATTAATAAAAATTATAAAAGTCACGTGTTTTAACACCTTTTGGTATTTAAAATAAAATTTCCAAGGTATTTATTATGAGATGTTATTACATTCCACTCATCGTCAAATTGTAAACACCATATCCACGAGACACGGAAAACATGATAATAAGAACAACCTGGGAATTCCCTCTATATTTATATATTTGACTAGTTGTTTGTCGCGATTTTGTCTTCATATATTTCGGTTCGCAAAATCTTTAAAAAAATTAACCACCTACGTTACTCCCGCATATCCCCCTATATGCGGATCCTATAACTATAGTTATAGGATCTACATACCTTTATTTAAAAATCCAGTCAAAATTGGTATCAACCGTTTGGGAGATTACCTCAAACAAATACGGAATTCCATACAGACAGATAGACAAACAAATTTAAAAATTATTTTTTGTTATAAGTAACACAAATACATTGTGTGCATAAAATATCTAAATGTTATATTGATGTTACATACAGACACTCCAATTATTTATATTTATAAATTTGAGTAAAGTTCAAATATTGGTATGCAAATTGATGCAGACGATTGCTTACTTGTACTACCTATGATTCATCTTCAGTTTTATTATATAGCTTTTAGGTGTCGTTAAGTTTTTATTCTTCAACTAGCTTTTGCCCGCGACTTCGTTTACGCGCAAATAAAAAAAACTTATTAAGTAACCTATGCGCTATTACAAACAAAATTCTGTCTGCGCCAAATTTATCTTTTGGAGATGCCTACTAGCGAACATCAAGAATTAGAAAACTCATGGTAGGAATGACCTTATCCAACACATACTTTTTGTACGAGGGGAATACTCTATCGTTACATGGGTATACTCCATATTGGCCTATGCCTCTTCCTAATTAATACTGGGAAGCGGATAGGAGGCATATCTAAGAAACCCCTCCTTCTCCTGCGCATCCCAATGATACCTGGACAAAAACAATACTACAATAATCGTATTTATACGTATAAATACTATTTCTGTAAAATAAATTCCATACTTCCTCGTGTATTATTACCTCGAACAATGACATTAATCTAGTTTGTAATTTTATTGATTATTTCCTATCTATTTCCTTTTCAGGTTAAATATTTTATTGATCCAATTTATAGTAATAAATATCAATATCTCATGAGTAAGCCAGTAGAGAATCGATTAAGAGATTTGTTAGTCTACTTCTCGTCCCATATGCGCTGCACAAATCTAATACCGACAAAATTTGTCGAAGACTATTTGTCGCAAATTTTCCTGCTAGGCCTCTTTTACTTCTGTCATTCCCAGGGAAAGCGTTGTATATTCGTCACCGTTTTCCTAAACCACTGGACTGATTGTTGTATAAAACTTTATTAAAGTTGTTCTGATTACGGAAAAAAGGTTTCATGTACTATAAAATCTAAAAAAAATAAACAAATTTCTATCGCTAATGACAATATTGCTTTAACAGTGGTAGAGCCCGCTTTAACATTGGACGAATTGGCCCGGCTCGACCGGTGAAATACCACGACCACACAGAAGACAGGCGTGAAGTGGAAGCCATTCCGCATTTCGTCTGATGAGTGTGCGTCCCGGAGGCCTTATTTAGTCCTCTTTCCCTTCCCACCCTTTTTCTTATAAGGAAAGGATGGGAAGTGGAAGAGGACTTTTCGGAAAGGATGCATGAAAAGGGAAGATATTTTCATTCTGTGCATCTTCCCCTCCGTCGATTAAAGGTAGGCAACGCATATGCAATTGCGTATGTCTATGGGCAACGATCACATCGCTATTTCGGTGATTTCAGGTGGCCGCTCGCTCGTTTGCCACCTTATGATATAAAAAAATATTCCACATTTTTTTGATGTATTATATTGTTGTCACAATAATTATTTAGGCTTTCCTATCGCAACGCAGTAGGCATTCAATTTAGTCCTGTGTAATAATACGAATAAGCTTCAGAACCTCAACCTCGATTGATCCCGATCGGACACAAGAGTTGTATTAATAAAATGTTTAGTCGATTTATATTTATTGACCTCAGACGAGGATTGGTCAAGGTTTGACAGTTATCTTGTTGTTTATTACACTTGATTGTTATCACAAAGTCTAGTCTTGGTACTGCTAAAACTGCTTTTGTTTTAATTGTGTCCGGAAAAAATAAAACAATCAAAAACCTAATTATAATAAATAATGAGCTTTTCTTTGTGGCTTTGTATTTTATATATTTAATTTGGCCTGTTTTATTGGCGTCTTACTAATTAATGCCTGTGTTATGATTTAAATATTTTATTTTACAGTACATGTTTTTACTTCCTAAATGTAACAAATAAGTTTAACATTTTTTTATAATAATATAACACAAACTTAATAATAAAACTTTACGTGTACATTTAGTGCCTTTATTGTTTCATCTAAATCTATATCTAGCAATATCAGAATAGTTTTGTCGTGATTAATTTTCTTTGACCTCGAATATTTGAAGTGGGCAAAGTGAACGCAACTTCCGCACTATTTGCATATGTATTGTGAGACAGATTATTATAAATTATTATTCTCTACAAAAATTACTATTATTATAAATGCGAATGTTTAGATTGATAGATGTTTGTTTGTTTGAAGGTATCTCCAGAACGGCTGAACAAATTCCGAAGTCTGGAAGAACACATACGCTATTAATTTTTTTTCAATTCTGCGCGGACGGAGTAACGGGCGACAGCTAGTACGGAAATATTTCATTAAAATATGAATAATACTTTTAATATGCGCAAATTTTGCTTACATCGTAGTATGCAATAAAAGTTTAGAAAAAAACTATATTTCAAAACATAAAACACAAAACATATGAAGTTCTGGTTGGAAATGGTACGGTGTGAACTTTACACAATAAGGTCATATCAGACACGCTGACATAGTTAGCAAGGCGTTTTATCCTAAGTCTATCTACGTGTATCCTGTTCTAAAAAAACACTAAAATCTCATAATATTCCATCAAATTTTCGCAGGTAGTCAGAATTAAGAAATTCGAATGTTTATTTCTAGTTAAATTTCCACTGAAACACAGAATCCTTTAATAATTAGTTGAGCAAAGCCTTAGGATAGATTTTGTTTCTGACAATCTTAATGAATTTTATTGTAAATAATGCTTACTTAAACCAAATATCACCGTTATAATTTTATTTTGGTTGGTTATTTGAATTAAAATAAAGTTGACCTTTCTCACGCTATTTTCGTACTATTTCCTAATACATGCCTAAGGTTATTGTTGCGTACGTGATAATTAACATTTGCTAATAAAAACTTCTCAGCATACGATCTCCATTCATCCGAAAAAGAGGTCGGTAAAATAAACAAAGCAATGATTTATCCAAAACATAAATATATATATATTTTTTTTAATGATAATATTGTGCAACGTTTCTTTTTAAAGCAATGATAGATATTTTTTATTTTTACTTATCGTAATAAGCAATATTTTGATAAGTTTAAGTTTATAAATATGTAAATAATAACGCTTAAACATTGTTAACTCACCTTTGAAGTTATTTCACAATAAATCGCGCAGCTTTAAGAAATCACTACTGGCATAAAGTAAATATTTATGATACAACTTAATTTTATATCGATTATTAAAATCGATAATCGAAATAGGATCGCGAGCGCGAAGTGAACAATGAGGTAATAGGAACGTAACTAAGCTAAAAGCACCGGCGCAAGCGCAGCCTGCGGTTTACAGCTGTGTGCGTTTCCATTGTACTCAACTAATTGGACACACGCGAAAAAATATAACTAGCTGTCGCCCGCGACTCCGTCTGTGTGGTATTAAGAAAAAGTTAGTTAGTAGGGTATGTGTTCTTCCAGACTATGTTCTACTTCTATGTCAAATTTCAGCGAGATCAATACCGCCATTCTAGAGATACCTTCACACAAACATCCATCCATCCATCCAAATATTCGCATTTACAATATAGGTAAGAAGTAAGATAGTACCAGTTTTATGATATTAATACGACATAATAAAGAGACAAAATATAATACATTTATTATACAAGAATTGACTGAATCACATCACATGACTCATGAATGCAAGGAACGTTTGCTAGGACCTTATCAAATCCATAATATCTGCTTATCCCCTAGGTTACAGTTAATTTAGTATGTTTTATTTACCTCGTAGTTTAACTGCTGAATACGGATGAGAAGTTAATGTTTGTGATTTATTTGTTTTAATAGTGGTAAGTCTTGAATCTGTCACTTTTAAAGCCCTTGATATAAGCCGCCTAAATGAAATGCTAATGGTATTAACATGTCGTAACGTTTGGAAGTGGAAAACATTTTGAACGTTTTTAATATAGTAGCATAATACTTATATTAAAAACAAGTTTTGCAATAGGTTCAAGCAATTAAATTCCTATTATTAGTTTATTTTTTTTTTTCATTTTAAAACATTAAAAAATATTTAGGCGTTCGTCTATTAACACGTTGAAGGAGCCTGAGCCAGTTGTAGTCAACCACCACGGACCTGCTCGGTTGTCCGGGTGGGCGGAGAGGTGAACTCCGACGTGGCGCGTCCCCGTGTGGTGGATAGGGGAACGCCCCGGCATTCGGGTCGGGGTAGGGCGCAAGCCCCGCGAACCAAACACCAGGGTCTGGCGGTGCTCGCAGGACTAGTCGACGAGGTGTCGATAGGTCTAGCGCGCTAGCCGGACCCGGGGCCTGGTGGAGCGCGCAGGACTAGTCGATGGTGTTCCGACAGGTCTAGCGCGCTAGCCGGGCCCCCAACCGGTGGAGGCGCCGGAGGTGGACGATTGTCTGCCTCCGTGCTGCCTATCGTGGTGGGGCCGCGGGGGATGCGGGAAGGGTACTGGTTTATCCTGCCCTCCTTGCATCCCTCGTGGCCGGAGGGGGTTGTGGGGCCGCGAGGGATGTAGGAAGGGTACTGGTTTATCCTGCCCTACTTGCATCCCTCGTGGTCGGTGTTGAGGTGTGGGGCCGCGAGGGATGTGGGAAGGGTACTGGTTTATCCTGCCCTCCTGCAACCCTCGTGGCCGAGGACGTGTGGAGGCCGCGAGGGCTGTGGGAGGGTACTGGTTTATCCTGCCCACCCGCAGCTCTCGTGGTCGGACGTGTGGGTCCGATGTAGCGGACGGTCGCCGGCTGGGTCGCGGAGGAGTGCTCACGCGTACCGGGTTACGCCCGGCCATATGGCGATGAGGAGGGCTAGAGGGGTTTTAGTGGGTATGGCCGAACGACTGTAGGCGAGTCCCACACTCCCTGCGCCATTGCACACTGGCCCGGCGCAGGGGTGCGGAAGTGCATTTCCCCTCGTTAAAAAAAAAAAAAAAAAAGTTGTAGTCAACCAATGATTGACTTATCAAATTCATCATCATCAGCTCACTATACGTCCCCACCGAGGGGCTCAGAGCCTACCCTAAGTGAGGATGTTTAGGCCATAGTCAACCACGCTGGCACAGTGCGGGTCGGTTGACTTCAGACATATCTTTGAATTTCTTCTCAGATACGTGCAAGTTGCATCACGATGTTTTCCTTCACCGTAAGAACGTCGGATAAATGTACATATGTAAATCGGAAATCGAAAAACACATTGGTACATGGCGGGATTCGAACCCAGGACCTGCAGATTGCAAGTCAAGTGCTTGACCCCTGAGCCACCGACGCTCAATTAACTTATCAAATTAGCATCAACAATTTTTTTTATAAAATATTCTGCATCATCTATATAAAAGAAAGTTGTGTTAGTAACGCTATTTATAACTCAAGAACGGCTTTACCGATATGTTTGAAAATTGGTGAGGAGGTAGCTGAGAGCCAGGAGACGGACATAGGATACTATTTATTCTTTTTTTTTTCGAATTTATGCCTTTTAGAGCTGCTTTTTATTTAACTTATCTAGATATTAAGTTATACATCCACGCGGACGAAGTCGCGGCCATAGCTAGTTAAAAATAAAGTAATAAAATATGTACTACGAATATTTCCAATAGCGTAAAACGGGATGAATAGATTAACCTTTCAACTTCAACGCCAATTTTCGTATATTTAGTATGGAAGCTGCTATTAAAACATTGCGAAATCGTGATCATGTTGTAATTTATCAATTATGTATATGTGCTAAAATAAACAAAAAAGTTAGTTTTTTTAAATTAAGAAAAAATAGGTTTCATGGTTAAGCAGAACATTCAGACCAAACGGAGGCTACGAAAAGCGACTTCATTTAAATGTGCTGTAAACTTACCTTTCTACGCTATGATATTGAACGCTGATGACGATATAGGAAACCACATTTTGTTTAAATCACTGATTTTCATATTTCTACGGCTTAATAAAACAATAATACCAAATATCAAATATATTTTTTCCTAAATACCCATCGTGATTCATAATCCTAGTGACATTCCAAATTTGAATGTGTTCGGATTAAAACGGTTGAATGTTTTATTGCATATTTCCTTCAAAGCAGAAGTTTTCCTTGTTATCTGAGAAGCAATTTTGTGAAAAGGAATAGAAGTTACAATTATGAAGTATGGCGGATGTGATATTTCCATAATTTTTCTTAAAACTAAGATAAATATTTTATGATAAGTAAACAAAGTAACAGAACGATACATTTATTGTAAAAAAAACACTTAACACTAAAGTTATCACATATTATTCGATATTTTGAAAAGCAAAGTTTTCACATCCAATAGTATAAAGATCCTTCTTTTTCTCTTCTAACTTCTTCTTCGCTTTCCTATCTCTGTATTCAACGACGAAGTAGAGAGCGATGCCAATTATCATCATCACAATCAACAGGTAAGTCTTGGCCCTGGTCCTCAAGTATGGAGATATCACGTAGGCAATGATATAACCCACAGACTCCCAGAGTCTAAAGTTAGAGAACGCCGCCTCTTCTCTTCCCGGGAACAAGATTCCGTAATAAGCTGTTAAAAATAATGAAAGTTTTAATATTGTTAAAACAAACTATCACAATACATGGCACGAGGATTAGTTAATATTGAATTATTTCTTTGTTGAAGATAAACATTAAAAAATACTGACGTAATTTTTAAATGTTCTTTACTTCCAGTAACCTAAACTAGGCCTTCACACTTATTTACTATTTCTCTTTCTAACAAATATGTAACAAAAAATCCATAACTTTAGTATTTTTAAGTAAATCAAAAGGTATCGCTTAAACATGAGTTTAGTTATTTAAACACGTACCATTAATTTGTACGATCCAAACAGAATCACACAATCCCCAGAGTATTGCTATAACATATAGTACATATTCCTCGCTGGGATGCGGTCGCCATGTCAGGATGGACACGAACAGCCCCGCCTGGACTATGGCCGCTGTACAAAGCAGCGGCAAGCGACCAGTTACCTGAATTAAACGAAACTCTTGAGAAACTAGTATGTACTAGAATTACACAAAATGTCATCCAGCTAGCCAAATTAACAGCCGCACTTAGCCTTACTATGTATATTATAATTTTTATGGAACTTACCTTAGCAATATATCCAGTAACAACGCAGCCGACTGCGTCAGCCACCCCATACGTCATCATGACGAAACCCACTGTGCCAGTGCCGATGGCGCACGATACAAATGCCTAGAATCAAAAAAGATCATAACGCCTGACAGTAAATGCATAAATATGATGCAGAAAAACTGCTTTACAATAATATAAGTAAAAATCGCCTGTCGAAAATTATTAGCAACATAACTTGGTAAAACAAATTTGTGAATTTGCTAACATATACTCGTATTTTTATGCCTCTACATTTTGTGTTCAAACTAAATAACTATCAATGTCAAAGTCTATACTTACAGCGGTGAAGTCAGCACCAAAGAACGCCTGTTGTAAACCAATGAAGACATTGATAATGACAAGCATCAACTGGTTGGGTTCTATGAGCAACTTGAGCGTCACAACTAGCAGCGCCATGCCGGAAAGCCCCGAGCCCGATCCGGAGCGCCCAGAGTCATATCTAATGACATAAATTAATAACTATTTTTAGACATTATTAGTTAGAATCCTTTGAAGCGGATCGCGCGTTCGTTACCAGTCAAGTGTCAGATTGATTAGTGAGGGGACATGAACGTTGATATTTTAATAAGGCTAGTGTTGCGTCGATACACCGGCAATGTCGGATTTTCTTCCTAACAGTATATAAAATTAAATATCAAAAATAAAACACGTAAAATAAGCCTAATAACCTTTTCATAGAATCCACGCCAACAGCAACAATAAGAGCAGCCCCGGCCATACATGCCAAGTATATCCCTGAAATTGATAAAAGTTGTCATGAAGATATTCTAAAAAATAGAACAAATGAATTCTATTTGTTGACGAACAATTATTGAAAAACAAGTGACAAATAAAATTCCATTTCGAAAAGCATTCAGAAAAACATTTTGATTACAAATAATAGAAGAGCAAAATAAGATCCAATATCCACTTAGCGAGCCATTTTTATACATTCGAGGGATATTTGAACTGGAACGGAGACAACAGTACATATTCACGAGACAAGTCGCTAAATCGCTTAGGCTTTTAGTAGGCCGATGTGCAGTTGACACTCATACAAAATACTCGCTTACCAACAATCATCTGTATCTTTTCCGGCGGCTGTGGCTGCAGCGCTTCACCCGCGTCTGCACTGGGCAGGAAGTTGGCACCGCACAGCTCCGGGATC